ATATATATATATATATATATATATATATATGTGTGTGTGTGTGTGTGCGTGTGTGTGTGTGTTCGTGTGTGTGTGTTTTGAACACTAAAAATACCAAAAAATTAAAATTTTCATACACTTGATAATATATTTATATTTTTGTTTATTATTTCAATTAGTTTCCTCTACTAGTTTCGGCCAGCATGATCTTCATCAGGAGAAAAAAATCCCTGCTTGTTAGTAGCTGTGAACTAGTAGGAGTGAAGGACAGTTTCTAAAGAAAGTAAACGTGATCTGTAGTTTTCATTTGTTTTTTATTATTAATTTTGGTCAGGCCTTGTGTTGGTCAAACGGCCTCTTTCAAGTTTTGTTTAAGATAGAGGATGCGAGATTACTGACTTTCAGAATTCCCGCCTTGGTAATTTTGACAGTTTTATTGATTGCTGTGAATGCCATATATATATATATATATATATATTATATATATATATATATATATATATATATATTATTACCTGTAGAACAACATTTCCGCCTAGAAAAACAGGATTTTAAAACCCATGCCAAATTCACTATAATTGAGAGAATAGAAAAGTCCAGAGCAGATAACATTAGAAAGATTTTATAGTTCCATGAGAATAAATGGATACAACGCTTAAAAACGCACTATCCAGTCGGGCTTAATCATAAATTTAACAATATAGATAGTATTAATACATAAGCCTACAAATGAAAATCTGCCCACATTTCTCACCCACACAAGACAGACATGCTTACGGATGTGTTGGGGCGTCACACTTATACACACACCCACAAGAATATACACACATCATATACACTCACTCCCTAATGAGCCAAATGATCACACACACCCATAGAAATATACACGCTTACACACATCATACACACTCACTCCCTAAGAACCAAATAACACACACACACTTTACAGAGACGCATCCCCTTTCCAGGAACCAATAAAACTGTCAAAATGACCAAGAGAATTCAGAGCAGCATGAATCCATCCAACTCTTATCTCAAATAAGACGGACCAAACACAAAGACGGACCAAAATTCATGGTAAAAAACGAAACAAATGAAAACTACAGACAAAAGTTCATTTTCTCCATCAAGACATTCATTTCTGTAGTTCACTGCTACCAGCAAGCAGAAAATTATTTTTCTCCTGATGATGGCCATGTTGGCCGAAACTAGTCGAGGAATCTAAATGAAATGATAATAAAAACGAAGGAATATTAATATACAACCCAGTGTGTCTGAAGATTTTAATTTTTTAATATTTTTTATTGTTCAATATATATATATATATATGAAATCAATAAATATTCGACTCCTGAGTTTTGCGTAATATCTCATTGTCACATGTTATGATAAATATGTTTTATCAATATCATGTTTATACTGAAAAAGCCTATAATCGTAGAATTAAAATTTGAAATATGCAATAGGTTCATAATATTATTAATAAATTTCAAATATGTAATACATTTTGATTTTTAACCAATGAAAATCATTTTCTATTTAGTATCTGTCTATATTTCTGAGATGAGGTATTATGTACATTATTTACATTATTCGGACTATTGTCCTCATCTTTGTCGCTAAAGGAAACATGGCACAGTGGATAAAGGCGTTTGTTAATTCTTGTGACAGGACCCAAAGAATGTGAGTTCAATACCCGGTTAAGGCGGGGGAGAACATTCAGAAGGGAATTAACAGGAGATAACTGATAACTGACATCCATTAAACATGGCACGTGGAACTAGAACAGTCTACCCCAGTGAGTGAAATAAAGGATTGAGTTCGGCATTCCAACCACCTGAAGAAGGCCGGAGCGTACAACGGTGGAAACGTTGTAATAAATATGGCGACAAAGATGAGGACAATAGTCCGAATAATGTAAATAAATTTCAATGAAGTTGTATAGTAAAACCAATAACAGTTCATTCATATTCCACATATATATGTATACTAAATGTAGAATGTAATTGCATTGTTATTGAAAATGCAGAAGAAAAGTATTGTATATAGCCAAGAATAAAAGCAAGCGTCATTATCAATAAATGGTTATTATATATACAATGTACAGACATTATGTAAATGTTTTATTTTATTATGGAAATATTAAGTGGAAATATCATATTGTATCAATTGCTAGATCTAGTGCTATAAAAGGTGGTTCACTCTATCGAGTTTTTTCCCGATAGAATCTATCTTACACATTTATAAGTCTACCGTTCGTCCATATATTGAATGTAGCTGTCACATTCGCTGGTGATTCTGCTATGTATTTAGAAACTCTTGACAAAATCTAAAGAAGAAGAAGAATTTGCAATGTTATACAGTCTGACCTGGCATCTCAGTTTCTGTCACTTTCTCACCGCCGCAACGTATATTACCTGGTTCTTTTTGTATAGATATTTTCATAATTAATGTTCTGGGGCACTTTTGTCTATGGTACCTGGACTTTATAAATTTAAGCGCGATACTAGATTGGCGGTATGGTCTCATCATATTATCGTTGAAATGGGTAGACGTAACCGTAAGTTCTATGCTAACAGTTTCTTTTCTCACACATCTCGCTTGTGGAACACTTCTTTTCGGCTTCTTGTTTTCCAACTTTGATCTTCAAAAATTTTAAAGCAATGTCAATCGTTATCTTCAGTCTTCTTAATTACTGTTCTTTTATTGATCTATCTTCTTAGTAATGTTTTTGTTTTTCTCATTCTTTTACACTCATCTTAGTGACTTTATTGCCTTAGATGGGGGTTGAAGTGTGTTGTAGGGAACGAAGTGATAGCCCTCAGTAAAAGAAAGAACTGACATACCTCTATTAAATGGATTCTTCCAGGAGTAATATGGCATTGGTGGCGGGGATCTTGCTTTCCAGCTTAGGCTTGAGCAAGCATCAAGACGTCGAACTCTCTGCTTTCGGGCAGTGGGGAACCTAGACGACGCTATGACGAAGGGCAAAGTCTCGTCTAGGGAGGTAGACAAACCCGGCCCCGTGTATGGGAGGTAGGGGTGCCTACGAAGAATTTCAGCCCGAGCCTATGTGGTCGAATCGTCCCACATAAAAAAATCTGCCTTGTGCCACATCTTGACTCGTGGGGAGGTCGGGTAAATACCGGCTTGCTTCCCAGCTTAGGTTTGAGCAAGCATCAAGACGTCGAACTCTCTCCTTTCGGTCAGAGACGAACCCAGACAACGCTATGCCGAAGGGCAGAGTCTCGTCTGGGGATGCAGACAAACTCGACCCGGTGTATGCGAGATCTAAGGAGAATTTTTGCCCGAGCATACAGTCTCGAATCGCCTCACATAAAAATCGACTTTGTGCCACATCCTGCCTCGTGAGGAGGTCATGTAAACACAGGCTTGTTTTCCACCTTCAGACGAACTTGTAGATATCTACTTGTATGGTTCTTGCTTAAAATAAACCCTTATGCTTTCTAAGTTGCCGTTCTAGGTATTATTTTAATAAGCATCCCGGGCAACATAACAAAAAAGTGATTCAAACAAAACTGTTGTGACCTGTTAGAGGCCTGAACGAAAGACACAGAAAGAAGAAGGTAGGTTGAACAAGTTTATTGAAATAACAGAAAATATATGCAAATTAAGAGTGTTATTAGTCAGCAGATACAAGTGTCCGTCCGAACGTTCAGGTTACACTGCGTCTCGACTGCCCTCCCTAGGAAGTCTCGCAGGTTAGTATTTATGAAGGAGGAGGAGTTCATTCTAATGTAGATTGGTCACTATAACAGTCATTGTTGTTAAACATTTATTGCGCCAAGTAAGATCTATGAATGAATATTCTATCATATAATTTTTATTATCGTCCTGGATATGATGATAAAATACATTCGCGTCCTGGGTATGACGATAAACTACATCTGCGTCCTGGGTATGACGATAAACTACGTCCGTGTCCTGGGTATGACGATAAATTAGATCCGCGTCCTGGGTATGACGATAAACTACGTCCGTGTCCTGGGTAAGACGATAAACTATGTCCAACAGCAAGGCCTCTGATCAGCAGGTTTTGAGCAGCGTGGAACCACTTCTTAAGTGCTGGTGTTCCCAGATCCAACCTAACCCAGGGTGGCAGCACCTGTTAGGGTCCCAACTATGCGCAAATAGTTAACCCCCAAAATGGGGTCAAAACACTATGAAAGTGTAAAAATAGGTTTTAATAACAGCTATAAACCTTTTGAGTAAAACTTATTACCAGTAATACATTTTTGAAGAAAATAAATATTACCAGCAATAAAAAAATTTTGGCTTCCTATGGGCATGAGATTTAGAGAAATGGATAAAAATATGAATAATTTTGTCGTTGACAATATATATATTTTTGTGGCCTGTTAGGAGCCAGAAAGAAAGACACACAAATAAAAGGTAGGTTGAACAAGTCTATTGAAATAACAGAACATATATACAAAATAAGATTTTTATTAGTCAGCAGATAAAAGTATCCGTCCGAACTATCAGATTACACTGCGTCCCAACTGCCTTCTTAGGAAGTCTCTCAGGTTAGTATTTATAAAGGAGCAAGAGTTCATTCTAATGTAGATTGGTCAGCATAACAAAAACTGAAAATGAATAAAACAGTGTTTTCTGGGGTCAGGAATTCAAGCAAGCATGACTGAGAGAATAAGTCTATAATAAGTATAATAAAATCTTTATTATAGGAATGCATTTAAGATAAGAAAGAAGGTGATAGTTGTCAGGAATTATTACAGGTCTCGCTAGTGGAACAACGCTTTTATTTTCATAATATATTGAATAATCTACGATTTCAAATGCAGATCTATCTTTCGTCTTACTGACTGCCTGTCTATTAAAACCTCCTGATACAAGGCTTATAAACAAGTAAGACGTGCGCAAATGATTCTAAAAGCCTATTGATTTATCATTTCCATGCAAAAATCAATTGCTATCTCTCGATCATAATCTACTTTCTGAATAGGCCATCATTCCCTGTACACCATTAACTACATGCCTGTATGCAGCTATGCAACAGTCACTTCGTTTATAGCTGCATATCTCGAAAACTGTGCATATCTATCTATCTATCTATGTCAGTTCATTATCTATTTATATATAGATGCCTGTTAATTATCTATCTATCTATCTATCTATGTCAGTTCATTATCTATTTATATATAGATGCCTGTTAATTATCTATCTATCTATCTATCTAGCTTGCT